AAATACAGTTTGTGTATCTATATACTACAAAAATATTATATATTATGTTTATGATCTAAGTATAGATCGAGCTCAATGACGTACTATTGATGAGGCATACGTCCAGCAGCGAATAAAAACTACGATACACATTTACTTCTTTATCGGAACACAAAACTTCGTATTACATTACGTTGATGTTTCTTAATCACATCGGTATAAAACAAACGAAAAATCGTAATTACATAACATAACATCACGCCTTTTATCCCCGAAGGGGTAGGCAGAGGTGCACATTACGGCTCTTAATGCCACCTTACAATGTAACACCCACTTTTCACTATTTATGTTATGAGTCCCATGTAATAGGGGGTGAGCCTATTGCCATATACCGGGCACATTTCCAGACTTCGTGCTATTATTGAGATTTTTTTAAAACTCAGTAATACTTTGCCCGACCCGGGAATCGAACCCGAGACCCCTTGCCCGGCAGTCGCACTTGCGATCACTCGGCCAATGAGACAGTCAACCGTAATTATGCATCTGTATTATAGAGTTTTAACTCGTCGAGTACCGGTTTTATAGACACAATTAAAGAACAATAGGTCGCGGTCACCGGTGACCGCTTGGTGTTTGACAGTTTAAGCAGTCACTGCTGAACATAGGCTTCCCCCAGTGACTAAGATTTATTGATAGGCCTTTAACATGGAGTAGTCAAAGCTAGGCCTTAAGGTAGTGATTGTATGTGAAATACGTGACAAATACAGTTTATGTATCTATATACCACAAAAATATTATTTATTATGTCTATGATCTAAGTATAGATCGAGCTCAATGACGTACTTGATGAGGCATACGTACAACAGCGAACAAAAACTACGATACACATTACACATCTACTTCTTTATCGGAACACAAAACTTCGTATTACATTACGTTGATGTTCCTTAATCACATCGGTATAAAACAAACGAAAAATCGCAATAATGCATCTGTATTACAGATTTTTAACCATTATCATATCAGTCACTCCCCTAGTGACTTTTTTTTGAGGGGGGAAAATCATCCAATGACTTCTCCCGCCCGGGTGAGGCGGGAGGGAGTGTCAGACTCTTACTGATTAAAAACCACCCCGTTCCTACTCCTGCACTTCGAGCCGGAGTCCCGGCAACCCGTTAAGTCTTCCGCAGCTCCGTATCGGCATCAGCCCTGTTAGGCCCCATCTGTGGTGGTCTGATGGCTCCTTGAGGCGCGCGTGGAACGCGACGCGCCGTACGCTCGGGCCTGGTTCTGGTCGGGCGGCGAGTCACCCGTGTTCGCCGTCCGCCGGCCCGTGCTTGCGGTGGCCGGAGATCGTCTCGCGATCCCCGACGCTCTCGCGATCCCCGACGCACCCCCCAAGTGACTAAGATTGATTGATTGGCCTTTAGGTAGTGATTGGATGACAAAAGAATGGAAACAGAAAACAAAATCAAACCGAACCGGCTCAATTACCCTTCCCCAATCTCCCCAATCCTTGAATCCCCAACAATCCTCAAACTAGTCTTCCAGGTATCCATAGGCGACGCCGATTGCTTACCATCAGGTGATGCGTCTGCTCGTTCACCCGCTTATCTCATCATAAAAAAGATGTGACAGATACAGTATATATATACCACAAAAATACTATTTATTCTGTCTATCAGCTGTACGTGTATGTATAGATCGAGCTCAGAGACGTACTATGGAGGAGGCATACGTCCAGCAGAGAACAAAAACTATGATACACCTTTATCGGAACACAAAACTTCATATTACACGTTCCGTAATCATATTGTTGCTATGTAGTTTTTGCAATAGAATTAACGATTGCGTGTGAAATCATTTATTTGGTGATAATTTGTAGAATGATTCTCAACTTTTCAATGCATAGTAAAATAATATTTAAGTGTGTGAGTACGTATGTACTTAGGTTACAACTGTATCTATTTGTTTAAGTGATGCATCATATACTAAAATAGCGTTTACTTATAATTATGTTTTTGTGCCATTTTTATCGAAGTTATTGTTAGCTTGCATAACCGTATATCCCCAAGCGGTCACCGGTAACCGCTCTCCACTAACTACATTATAGACCTCATTTCCAATATTTAAAGACTACTTTTGTATGAACAAATTTAGGGGATGATTTTTAACAATTTTTAACAGGTCTTGTCTTGATATAGTGGTGGGATATAGTTAGGGTACAAAGATTTTAAGAACAAACCGAAACGAAACCGACCTTTCACGTCATGTGAGTGAATTTATCGGAGGCCCAATTACCCCGTTTCCCAATCACTGAATCTCCAACAATCCTTAAATTCCTAAAAGGCCGGTAACGCACTTGTAACACCTCTGGTTCTTCGGGTGTCTATGGGCGACGCCGATTGCTTACCATCAGGTGACCCGTCTGCTCTTTTACTGGCTTATGCAATAAAAAAACGAACTCAATGGTGTGTTGTTAGAAAATATGGTTTAAGAGCCATGGGGACAGACAGAGAAAACAGAAAACTTGGAGCATCAAGTAGTATTTGTATAGTAATCGCTCCTTGTAAGAGGACACCTTAAGCATTTTAGTTTGAAGCACATAGCATTATATTCATTATATATAGTCAGGTATGTTCGCGGATGCGCACACTGATGATTATTTCGCGATCATGTGCAAAAAAGTGGCATCAGGATCAGCGGCATGAAAGTGTTTGCAGAAAGGCTAGAAGGGCCTACAATAGATAGATTTATCAAGCTGCATGTCAGACGTGGAGCTTGATAAAGCTTCTAATAATAATCTGTACTGTATTTGTGTATGTATTATTTTGTTTTATTTTATTTTTGAACTCGTGTGTTACTACTAACTAACATAGTTTTTTTAAGTTTGTACTATTTACTAACACTCTATGGGCCGTCGACGCCTGAAAATAAAGGATTTTTATTTATCTTATTATTTATTGTTGTTTTTTTTTGTAGTTATTCAATAGTATTCAAAACATGTCCATTGCTAAACTACCTACTACATAAAAAGATAAATAGTATGTTTACTGTTTACCTATTTGCATATCTATATGGATATTTATATGCAGAATTCACCTTGACATTACCAAGACATACATGCGTTGCTTACCTTAACATAATATTATAATACCTTTGATGGAGCACAAAGTTTTTATTGGGTTGGTACTAGCGGTCCGCCCCAGCTTCGCTTGGGTGCTATTTCCAGGTGTTCCCGATAAATGTATCGATTCTTTCCTTTATACAAACTTCCTTCTAACGATAACAAACATTACTAAAAAATAATTATTAAATTCTATGTAGTCATTCGACAGTTTTACATTTTTATTAGTATACATTTCCAAAATCTTACTTCCAAGAACTCATTTTACCCCATCTAAATCTATGACTTGCTTACGAGGTTACGAACACTCGACCATAATATCGTGACAAACTCTAAATCCATTAAAATAAAGAATACTTTTCTTTGATTATTGTGGTTGCATCTACTGTTTTAGTCTAAGACTCTTATGTGACGTAACATGTACGCGAACCGGTGGGTGAACGCGAATCGTCGTCGTCGTTGAAATGGATTATGATCATTAATGCCACAACGCGTCCTGAAGATCGATTATTCGCATAAAACCCTTGCCCTGTCAAAGTAAACTTTAGGGCTGGTACCCGATACGGAGATGCTGAAGACTTATCGGGTTGCCGGGGCTCCAGCTCGAAACAAGAGTAGAAGGTTTTTAGTCCGTAACAGTCTGACACTCCCTCTCGCCTCACCCCGGGCAGAAGGAGGTATTAGATTATTTTTCCCCCTTAAAAAACCTATATAAACATGAAATTTTTAATATAGAAATACGACTCACTGAGACTTATAGCCACTTCTAGAAAACCAGTTACTTGTCCCGGTTTCCTACAAAAAATAAATAATAGATGCAACGTTTTTAATCTTGTCACAACATAGATGAAAAATGATCCAGTGGCGCGTATTTATTTTTAACTCTTATGTAATTATGAATATGACATAAAAATAGGTGTCTAAATAATATTGATAAAGTGTTCAAGTTTTTGTAAAAAGAGATGAACATAAGTAAATTTTGGTCCTCAACAGACCATTTTAAAGTCATATGCAATCGAAAAATACCTAAAATTAATGCAAACGTTTCAAGTTCTTAACAAAAATATCAATGAATTGATGTAAAAAAGGGCACTAAATATGTCGTCCAATTCAAAGTACCTAAACCTTTATTAAAAAATTAATAAAACAGGATATTAATAAATATATAATATATACACATATTATGTGTTACACTAAAGAGTTGAAACTATTTTGGCAAAAAGACGAAATTATGACGCGATTGTTGCCCTAATTTTAAATTAACTATTCCTATGTTATATTCCTATTCAGTTTTAATAACTCCTACAAAACCACTAACGCATCAATTAATGCTACAAATATTTAAAAAAAATAAAATGACGGACGAACACAACATCTTTCTAAACCTAATACCTATTGACTGTCCGATAGTCATCAGTTATGCTCATCAATTTGAAATCCTTTGCACACAGTACGCAGTAGATACCTGGCCGTAGTCACGCGGCAGGTGTGTGTGCAAAATCTTAATGACATCAATAAATTCTTGAGAAATCTTGCATTGAATAGTGCAATTACATAGAAACAGTTTTTTTTTTTAACAAATCCATGACTTCTTGATGTATTAGGTGTGAAGAAAGATGCATTAGTCGTACTAATAGGTGAAATAAACTTAAGACACCATTGCAACTGCTAGATGCATATTTAAAAAGTGCTATCTCATCGTGATGAAGGCACGTGTAGATACTTAATCCTTAACGTACAGATAAAAAATACGTAATGAGTTGATAATTTTTTTATCTACAAACACAATTTAAAAGTACGAATCCACTGATTTGAATTCACTCGCTATCTGGCACTAACCGAGTGGAGACCTAATTTACATTGTAGTGGAGACGCGAACACATCGGTCGTCGATATGTTCGGGTTTATCATAGAGTTGGTTCTTGTTTTTATAATATCTTGTTTATCTATTTTCTATTTTTTCGTGCGAAGTAATTATGGATATTGGAAGAAGCGTGGCGTGCCTTACGATGAACCAAGGTTTATTTTCGGGAGTCTTTCGTTCCTCATGAGAAGGAGTTTCTGGGATGTGTTCTACGATCTAGGTAAAAAGTACAAGAAGTATGATTATATTGGAATCTTCATGTCATGGAAACCAGCCCTCATGCTGCTCTCGAAGGATCTCTCAAAGAAAATTCTTGTGAAAGATAGTGACAGTTTCCAAGATAGATACAGCTATTCTGGGATGAAAGATGATCCTTTGGGGTCATTGAATTTGTTCAGTATCAAGGTAAGCAATGCATTTATTATGTAAACAAACAACTATTAAGTAACGAGTTGGTAGTAACGGGTTGTTGATACGGTGCTAAAATTATTTATAAAATTCGCAATTTATCATTCGCAACCTTTGTTGATTATTTATTATTTGGCCATGTTTAACTTATTTTTAAATTTTTATTCAACAATCCATTTTTTACACAAATTATTTTATAATTAACAGTCCTAAGAAAATCAGTAGATGCCATACTTTAGACCTAAATCAGTCTCATTCACAACAAGATAGTTATTTTTTCGGTACAGGAACAATAAAATTTAGCTATTTGTTTATTACAAAATAAAATTTTCAGAGTCCAATGTGGATTCAAATGAGGAGCGAGCTATCGCCGATGTTTACAAGTCTTCGTTTGAAAGGAGTCACGGAACTTATGAACATAAACTCCACGGAACTCGTGCGCAGGGTGCAGAAGGATTACATCGAGAAAAATGAACCTGTTGACCTTAAGGTATGTACATAATACATTATATTTTACATTAAAACTAGGTGCCCTATGACTAGGCCTAGGTGACCTAGGTTGCCATTCTCCGATGTTCTCGGTTTTGTAAGGTTTTTCTCTCGAGCAAATCTTTTCTTATAATAACATTTACGGCATTAACCTGTAAAGATAAATGTAAGTGGAAAAATAAATAAATAAATAACGTACACAACAAAAGAAATTAACCAAATGTCTAGTCGTTTTCGAATTTAGTTTTTACTAGCTGTTCCGTTTTGCCCGCGACTTCATACGCGTAGAATATAAATTTTGGAGCATAACATTTTTAGATTAAATTTTATTTCTTAAATTCTTGCAAAATCGGTCCAGGTATTCCAGAGATTAGTCAGTACAAACAGACAGGCCGACAGACCGACAGACAAAAATTAAAAAACATTTAGGTACATGTTATTTTGGTATGTCTATTCATATGCATGTAGTAAAAAGCGTTTATTTTAATATTACAAACAGACAATCCAATCTTATTTATCTGTCGCGGAGAACCTAACGGGTAACCGGGGCTCCGGCTCGACGTGCAGGAGAAGGAACGGGGTGGTTTTTAGTCAGTAAGAGTCTGACACTCCCTCCTGCCTCACCCAGGCGGGAGCAGTCATTCGATGATTTTCCCCCCTTAAAAAAAAAATCTTATTTATCTGTAGGTATATATGCCATATGAGATTTTTTTTTAATTCTCAGTCTGGTTCAGATTCTGGGATTGTGCCCGATATATATGGCAATAGGCTCACCCCCTATGGGACACATGGGACTCATAACATATATAGTGAAAAGTTGGTGTTGCATTGTCACAGTAATATTAAAGGCCGTAATGTGCACCTCTGCCTACCCCTTCAAAAATAAAAAGGCGTGATGTTATGTTACCTTCACAAAAAATGCAAAAGATCGTTTATTAATGGTTACTCAAATAGACCTATTAATCATATAATTATTATCTTCTTGATGACAGAAGCAATTAGCCGATCGATCGTGGTCTAATAGCCATTGCCAATGTGCTAGGTGTCACGTAACATTTAACTACATATTAACGAGGTAAATAGTAAGCCTAGTTTATTTACAAAATCATAATTACGCAATGAAGTTTGACCACTATCTCGGCTGGTGGTAACCGATGATGTTTAATACATAACATCACGCCTTTTATCCCCGAAGGGGTAGGCAGAGGTGCACATTATACCACTGTACAATGTAAAACCCACTTTTCACTATTTATGTTATGAGTCCCATGTAATAGGGGGTGAGCCTATTGTCATATACCGGGCACAATTCCAGACTCCGTGATACTACTGAGAATTATTTAAAAACCCAGTAATACCCAGTAATGTTTAATACATTTATTTATTTAATTTTAAATGCTTCATGTACAATCGTAAACAAAGTGGACTTAATCTACCAGTCTGTCTTATAGAATACCTATGTCCTATATAAATATTTTTAAGACAAGTACATAAGGTCTATTTTTCTTTATATTATAAAGCGCTAGATTTTACAAACTTAGTGCGCATTGATGGATCTTACTTTCTAATAATATTATGAGCACAAAACTTTAAAAGTTTGTTCATCTACTGTCGTTCATCAATCACAAGAAACAAAATAATAAGAAATTATTACGAACGTACATAGGCTTAATATCTTATTTAAAACTAGCGAATCCAACGAACTGAACTTTTCGCCTTCAAGAATCTCCTAACAATAACAAACAAAAACTAATTACCGAAATCGGTTCAGCTGTTCTCGAGATTTGCACTTAGCAACATATTTATCGATTCATTTTTATATTAGGTACACGCACGTTTGTTCATTTCGTAGACGATCTATTTGTTTTAAAAAGAAATTTTAAAAACAGAATAAACACAATTAACCTCTAACAAAACTGCTTGCTCAAAGAACTGTAACTAAAAAAAAATATAAAAAATATGGACGACAATGCCAAGCTACCAGGGAAATAAAAAAAGAAATAGTTAACGAAGATGTAGCTTCGGTAGCTGACTGAAAAGGAAATGATATTGGAGATCGATACCTGAGGCTTGAAGACGGTCACGATACATCCCGCTCTCATACTTTTAGCTTCACTACAGTATTCTATTTCATTGCTTTTTAAACATAACACAACATAACATCACGCCTTTTATCCTCGAAGGGGTAGGCAAACGTGAACATTATGCCACTGTACAATGTAACACCGACTTTTCACTATTTATGTTACGAGTCCCATGTAATAGGGGGTGAGCCTATTGCCTTATACCGGACACAATTCCAGGCTACTGAGATTTTTTTTAAAACCCAGTAATACCCCCTTGCCCGGTAGTCGCACTTGCAACCACTCGGCCAACGAGGCAGGTCTTTAAACTGCCGCGTTGCACTTTTTAAACAATATTAGCAAAACGCCTCGGATTCACACGGATGCTACATAATTCTTATAGATGTATCGGTTTTTGTGCCAAGACTTCCAGTCCTTAGAATACCCTACTAAAGTATTGTCAAAGTGTGATGATTTTGGAAAGTATAAAGGACTTCTTAACATATTTTTTTACACATTTACGGAGTATTCCTGCCTTTTTTAGCATAGTGCTAAATGGGTAACCAATAAATGAAAGTGGCATTTTCTGATCTGTTCCATCATTTATTTATTCAGCGGAGCGGAGGGTATTTACAAGCTGATAATGAGAGTGTGGGAGAGCCATGCTTCGGCATGAATGGGCCGGCTCGACCGGAGTGATGCCACGGCGTCACTGAAAACCGTCGTAAAACAAAGCTTGCATTGTGTTTCGTCGTGTTAGTGAGGTTACCGGAAGCTTAATTACCCCCTTCCCCAGTCTCCTTAAACACCGAATCTCCCACAATCACCAAATTCACAAAAGGCTGGTAATACTTGTAACGCCTTTGGTGTTTCAGGTGTTCATGGGCAGCGCCGATTGCTTACCATCAGGTGGTTTCTAATGATAACTTTTATCTTGTTACAGCAACTGTTTTCGATGTACACATCGGACACAGTAGCGTATACAGTGTTCGGCATCCGAGTGAGTGCTTTGAAAGAACTTGCGTCTCCCCTCTGGGACATCACACAACACATGGTGAAATGGACCTTCTGGAGAGGATTGGAGTTCACTATGGTCTTCTTCCTACCTGTTATTGCTGAGATCTTCAGGTAAAATATTATTAGAAATACCTATTAAAAGAAAACCTGTTTTGTGGGTGACACAGATGACACTTGACTGGAATTGGGAGAACAAAAACCTCGGAACAATAACTAATAGTTATTGTTCCGAGACAAAAACGTTCTATCTGACTTTGCTTAAACTAAATTATGTTAGTTCGGACTAATTGCATTTTGTTTGCTGATAAACCTCTAACAACAAAATGATAGAAGAAAGATAATAATCAGAGCGGTAATCGTACACAGGCTATCGGGATACGAAATCAATTAATATCAAAATATTAATGCTGTTATTGAATCGACGATAGCGTAATAGTCAGCTATCGACAATATTGGACAACGAAGTGTAGTTGTCTATATGTAGGCTTTCCATTGGCGTCATATGTTTTATATAATACTAGCTGTTGCCCGCGACTTCGTCCGCGTAGATTAATTAATGACTTCTGACAGAATTCATCAGAATCAATTCAGTGCCCAATTAAGATTTACCTATTGTGAAATGATTTATCGTAATTTCAATAAATTAAAAATCCCGCAGGGTTCTTACCAGTTTTTATTTTATTACTCAAAACTTACGTGATCGGGCCGGGCCGATCACGTAAGTTTTGAGTAATAAAAACTTCGACTATTGTTGTACAGAAACTCTATGAAATAAGTTCAGTGGTTAAAAGATAGAGAGTCCTGGAGCATTGACGCATAGTTCCCGTTCCCGAGGGACTTCTGTGATAAAAACTATCATACGTTACTCAGGTCCCAAATCATCGTTTTACCGAATGTAATTCAAAAAGATTTAATGATTCTAGATTCAATTTTCATTCCCAATTTCACACCAACTATCATTCCCTATTTTATCCCCTTAGGGGTGGAATTTATCAAAATCCTTTCTAAGGAGATACCTATGTCATAGTAACTTTATGCATGCAAAGTCTCAGCCCGATCGGTTTAAAACTGGCAAAGTATCACACAAACTTTCACCCTCTATATTACCCACTTTGGGGTGGAAATGTTCAAAAACCTTTCTAAAGGGACGTGTACGTCATAATATCTACCTACACGTCGAATTTCAACCCGATCTGTGTAAAACTGACAAAGTCTCATACAAACTTTCATCCCCTACATTATCCCATTGGAGGTGGAAATGATCAAAATCCTTACTTGGAGATGCCTACGTCATAACATCTACTTTCATGCCGAATTTCATTCCCATCGGTGTAAAACTGACAAAGTTTCATACAAACTTTCACCCCTATTTTACCCCCTCGGGGGGTGGAAATGATCAAAATCCTTTCTTAGAGGATGTTTACGTCAAAATATCTATCGGCACGCCGAATTTCAACCAGATCGTTTTATAATTGACAAAGTTCCATACGAACTTTCACCTACCCTCTTGGCAGTGAAAATGATCAAAATTCTTTCTTAGAAGATGCTTACGTCATAACATCTATCTGCATGCCAAATTTCAACCCGATCGGTTTAAAACTGACAAAGTCCCATACAAACTTTCATCCCCTATTTTACCCCCTTGGGGGTGGAAATTATCAAAATCCTTTCACAGCGGATGCCTACGTCATAACATCTATCTGCATGCCAATTTCAACCCGATCGGTTTAAAGCTGACAAAGTCTCATACAAACTTTCATCCCCTATTTTACCCCCTTGGGGGTGGAAATTATCAAAATCCTTTCACAGCGGATGCTTACGTCATAACATCAATCTGCATGCCAAATTTCAACCCGATCAGTTAAAAACTGACAAAGTTTCATACAAACTTTCATCCCCTTTTTTACCCTCTTGGGGGTGGAAATTATCAAAATCCTTTCTTAGCGGATGCCTACGTCATAACATCTATCTGTATGCCAAATTTTAGCCCAATCTGTCCAGCGGTTTGGGCTGTGCGTTGATAGATCACTATGTCAGTCAGTCAGTCAGTCAATCACCTTTGAATTATATATATATAGATTTCGGTAGCGATGCAGTAACTGCAGATTATTTTTTAAATAGAATATTTTACTTGACTTTTTTATTTTTAATGTATGAAAAACGTTGAATGAAGAATATGTTAGTGTTATAATTTATGAAAAAAAAACATCTTCTGTAACATAATCCAATAGTAAAGCTAACACGTGTCTGCTTATATAGTCGTCGCCTAAAGACATCAAAGATTCCTTTTAATCTCTTTTCACTTACTGTATCTTGTGAACAAAATATTCAAGATTCACTCTTTATTTAAAGACCCAAATGTCATTTTTTTGGAATCACAGCAAAAAAATATAAAACTCTTGGATATCACAGTTTAAGGATCTGATTCATCAGAGAGCGCTGCCGCTTAGTCTCTATGAGATAATGTAGTCTCTTAGAGCCGATTTTTCAAACATCAGTCAAATCTCAGTAGTAGCACGGAATCTGGAATTGTGCCCGGTATATAGCAATAGGCTCACCCCCTATTACATGGGACTCATAAGATAAATAGTGAAAAGTGGATGTTACATTATACAGTTGCATAATGTGCACCTCTGCCTACCCCTTCGCAGATAAAAAGCGTAATGTTCTGATGTTATGCAGTTAATTTTTAACTGTAGAATAAAGTTAACAGTTGACAGTTTTTAGAATGGAAGAATTGTCAAATACTGAAATTTATTCCTCAGTTAAAATTATCTGAGCATTAAAAATTGGCCTTAAGTCAGCATCACTCCGTCATCACACAACTTAAATTAACGTAACTTCACCTCTATTACCCTATTTTAAAGTTAAAAACCAATTGCCAGTAGATTATCGAACCACTACCTACTTACTACTCGCCTAAACAAAACATCCACATTTTCAGATTGAAATTCTTCTCGCAGCCCGCTACAGAACATATAAGGAAGTTATTCCATGAAGTAGTAGCACAAAGAAAGAAAACTGGAGAATCCAATGACAAGGACCTCGTCAATCATTTATTAAAGTTAAAGGCGAACTTGAAACTCCCCGTAGGATCCGATGCAGGTAAGTTCGTCCTCCGAGACCAGTACGATGTACGATACGTCGAAACTTAAAACTGTTCCAGATCCTTCCTTGAACTTTGTATTAACTTCTTTGTTGTATTTTCATGCTATTTATTGTACGTAGTTTGAAGTGTTTTTCTTAAATCTTCATTTATGTGGATATTCATTTATAAGTGCTCGTTGCCTTGTTGGCCGAGTGGTCACACGTGCTGCCGGGCAAGGGGGCACGGTTGGTGCGCTGGCTGGGCAACCGGCTGCCGTGTAACGTGTCGCGGGTTCGATTCCCGCACGGAACAACACTTTCTGAGATTCACAAATTGTTGTTTCGGGTCTGGGTATAATGTGTATGTGAATCTGTATGTTTGTAACCGCACCCACGACACAGGAGAAAATCCTAGTGTGGGGCAAAGTTTAAAAAAAAAAATTAGTATTACTGGGTTTTTATAAATTCTCTGTTATAGCACGGAGTCTGGAATTGTGCCCGGTATATGGCAATAGGCTCACCCCCTATTACATGAGACTCATAATATAAATAGTGAAAAGTGTGTGTTATATTGTACAGTGGCATAATGTGCACCTCTGCCTACCCCTTCGGGGATAAAAGGCGTGGTGTTATGTTATGTAATAATTATAAATGTATAAGTCCTTCAGTTCGCAGCCCATACTTTATTCGAAGTAATAATTTCTGAAACGAAAATCCTAATGATTATTTCACATCGCTGACTTGCTTCGATTATGAACACCAAACCTCATTCGGTCAAACAAATAAATGCCTACATATCTAAAAATAATCTTAATAAAGACCGCAAAATAACGATCAAAAATCACATTCAAAATCTTATCATATATCTAATACGCCGTCTTATCGAATACAGATAATAAAATTTTATGGGATATGTTATACACTAATTGTTTATTTATCTGTGTTTCAGAATTAGCCGATAACCTAATGATGGCTCAGGTAGCAGTGTTCATACTGGGTTCCATTGAAACATCATCAACGACATTGACGTACTTCCTAAATGAGCTGGCTTATCATCCTGAGGAACAGGTAACACATCCTACTAATAGAATAATCTTATATACAATTTTTTTATTATTTAGAGTTGAAGAATTTATTTGTTTGTTGGTTTGAACGCGTTGATCTCTAGAACTACTGGTCCGATTTTAGTAATAATTTTTATGTTGGATAGTGGAATTATCGAGGATATATCAGTGGTCGCAAATACAACTGCCGAGCAAGGAGTCTCGGGTTTTATTCCCGGGTCGGGCAAAGTATTACTGGGTTTTTAAAAAAATCTCAGTAGTTACACTGAGTCTCGAATTGTGCCCGGTATATGACAATAGGGTCACCCCCTATTACATGGGACTCATAAGATAAATAGTAAAAATTGGGTGTTACATTATACAGTGGCATAATGTGCACCTCTGCCTGATATCCTCCATGTTATATGTACCCAAATAAAATTGTGAAGGACCTTATATCAAGCGTTAAAAAGTTTTCCAATTCCTAAATACATTTGTAAGTAAGTGTGCCATTTAAAATAAACAACAAAAGAGCAACGAAAGTTATTGCACTAGATATTTTGGCTTAGTATGAAACAAATGATACCTCAGTGCATTTCAGGTTATCAAAGATAATTGCAGCAATATATTAAGATTAGCATCCATAAACAAACTGATAGTAACTGTAGTTTTATTACAATATCCTATCTTCGACTGTCCCCAAAAAAAAGTCACGTTTGCCGAATACACAGCTAAACGTTTGGTTCAGTTTTTTTCATTGGATTTTCTACTTTACATCCAATTAATAAAGTCGATTTAATAAAAGAATTTCACAGAAATAAGTGGGTCGGCGTAGTTTGTACTCAAAGTCAAATTCAAAGCATTTTTTTTAAATTACACATAATTTGGTACTTTTGAAACGTCAACAAATACAAAACAAATAATAGTCTGTCAGTGAAGGTAGGTGCTCATTCCAAAATATAGATTCGAATGGAGAAGAACGAGCAAGAAACTCCATTCGTTACTTTAGCTAAGACAGTAATAAATAGAACATACAACGTTTTTTTTTTCAGGAAAAACTCTACCAGGAAGTCACAGCGGTGTTAAAAGAGAGCGGAAAAGAAATCTTGGAATATGACGACTTGTTGAAAGTGAAATATCTGACAGCATGCATGCATGGTGAGTGAAACGATTAGGGAAAACGTTTACAAGTGTAATACTTTAACTTCTGCTCACATATATTCGGAAATTTATCGTCACTATTTTTCCTGTTTCCAATAGGAAGGAGAATAGGGGAAGAAAATACGAATATTAATGTGAATTGTCTATTTCTTATGTGTCAACCGGTTAAGTGTGAAATGTTTTATAGGGATGATAACAGGGTATAAAAAGTAAAAATCTATTTTATTGTGTCGTTTAAAAAGACAATGCTTAGATAAAACGAATCAGTTTAGGAGTGGAAGCTAAAACGTTTCTGTAAGAAAATAAAAATACTTGTCTAATGTTTGTAAATAATCTAGGTACTAGACGGACATTAAAATAAAATTTAATCATTTTTTATGGCATAAGCCGGTAAACGAGCAGACGGATCACCTGATGGTAAGCAATCGGCGTAGCCCAAGGACACCTGGAACACCAGAGGCGTTACAAGTGCGTTACGGGCTTTTTGGGGATTAGGAGTTTGAGTATCGTTGGGGATTCAGGAATTGAGGAGATTGGGGAAGGGGAGGGTAATTGGGCCTCCGGTAACCTCACATACACGACGAAACACAACGCAAGCGTTGCTTCACGTCGGTTTTCTGTGAGGCCGTGGTATCACTCCGGTAGAGCCGGCCCACTCGTGGCGAAGCATGGTTCTTCCACACTTGCCGTGCCGCCCACTTTCATCTACCCTATTATGTTCATAATGATACTCAAGACATTATGTAATTAGATAGGTACACATAGTGAGGCTTCTAGAAGACTAGGAGTATAGGCCTTTCTGTTAACCTTTAAAAAAAACGTCAGGCATAATAGCGTGTTGTGTTGTTACAGAAACATTAAGAAAATACCCACCAGTACCTCACTTGGACAGAGTATGCAACAAGGCGTACAAACTGACAGATAACATGACTGTGGAACCTGGTACTCCAGTCTACGTGAACGTGGTTGCCATCCACTACAACGAGGAGTACTACCCTGAACCTGAGGAGTGGAAGCCCGAGAGATTCATCAACTCCACTGACAGTGATAACCATGATTTCACGTTCCTGCCATTTGGTGAAGGCCCCAGGTTTTGCATAGGTATTTTGAACTTTATTTTAATTTTGATAAAGTTACATTTTGTTTATGTTTGTGGTTTAGAGAATGCTTCCGATATAAACTAGCTCTTAAACACCGAGGACAGAGACAGAGTTGCAATAGTTTATGCTTTTAAATGGAAATAAACAGTAGCTCTGATGCCTTGGATTTAAATAAATAACACTAAACTACACCAGTAAGATTGTCAACTTTTTTACAATAGTAAGAATTTTATCAGTCACGTGCCAATATTACGATAAAGTATAAATATCACGTGTAAATTGTATTTTATCAAAATATCCGGTCCGGATGTTTCAACACTGTGATCATTAATTATATCAATTAGATTTATTTTAGCTACCTAGGTACTTTATGTTTTGTTGGAAATAAGGCAGTACACGTGTTCTTAGCTTATATGAACATAGTTAAGTTCTTCATCAACGTCTATTGAAAAACATCCATTGGGAAACCAAAATACTCCCTTTTTTCAAGGGTTTGCTTCAACACCCACATTGGCTCCAAATACATTTGTATGAAAACCCATAACTCCATAACAATTGGACCAACTTCTGCCATCTTTAACATTATAATCTCCTATTTTAACAGGTAAACGCTACGGCATGATGCAAATAAGGACAGCAATCGCCCAGTTGATAACTAAATACAAATTTGAGCCCGCTGCGCCCAAAAAACTCGAGACTGATCCCTACAGCGTTATCTTGGGGCCCAAAGATGGCGGCAAAGTGAAGTTTATACCTAGAACATAAAATTATAATCTCTTTTACAGTTCAGTCAATAATTTGTTTTGATTGATGTGACTTAATCAAGTATTTAATTGATAATTGTAAGTATGATTAAACAAAAATATAAAAAATATTTCATTCCGTTTTATTTATCAGTCTCTATACTCCTAATAATAATATTGTCGCGGAGAACCTAACGGGTTACCGGGGCTCCGGCTCGAAGTGCAGGAGAAGGAACGGGGTGGTATTTAGGCAGTAAGAGTCTGACACTCCCTTCCGCCTCACCCAGATGGGAGAAGTCATTCGATGATTTTCACCAATTAAAATATTTCTCCTAATATTGTTTTATACCTCTAAACCACCAAAAACCTTTAATTTCAATAATTTGTCAGTGACAAATTGAAATACAATAAACGAATTTACAGTTTCGTCTAGAATGAAATGTATTCATTGAATAGTCTATTATCTTATTAACAGCTAAGAGTAGCGGGGATAACGTGTGAGACTAATTTTTGATGCAACAATCTATCGGTAGGTAAACGCCTGCATTGCAAATCTGAGCAACGTTGATGAATTGATTCTTAGTCCAATATGACACGTCTTGTGTCTACGTGACCAAGGCCACGCATGTTATGTTAAGTTCACTTCAGAGGGGGAACAGCGGTGCGCAGGAAGCTCTGGTAAAGAATTCCACTCTTTAGCAGTACGTACAAAGAAGCTTGATGTAAAGCGCTTCGTGCGTGAGGGTGGGAAATGTACCATGAACCGGTGACGCTTCGCTGATTGTCTTGAGGTACGATGATGGAAAGGACTAGGGGGAATCAAGTTGTGCAATTCCCCCGCACACTCACCGAAATGTATCCGGTAGAAAACCGAAAGAAAGGTTTGTAACCTTACACCTGTGTTCGAGGCTTTGAAGCCGGGCTTCCACAAGCGCATCATCGTTGATGAGCCTCTTGGCACGCCACTCAATGTGCTCTAACGAGTCCAGCTGCCTGCACTAAGTGGTGCACTGTTTAGCACATACTGACCTACCGTTGAATAAACTTATACCTTTATTTCAAAATCATCATCATTTATACAGCCCAAGAAAGCTCCCTAACAGATACCCCTTTCTGCGATTAAAAATAATCAGAAACTAAGGCTTTTTAACTTTTACGATCACTAAAATTATAAGTGCCATGCTTGGACACATACAGATACAAAATCTGTTATTTCTTATTTCGCCTAAAACTATTGTGTATGATAGTTTCAATTTTGTGAAAGCAGTTTTATTGTTTAATCCATTACCTACATAACTGCCAAGTTTCATAAAACAAGAGTCGTAACTAAAAATAATATTGATGTACGCTACGGATGGCACACAACCGGTGCCAACATATTGTTATACATGTATGTATATGCAGATATTATGTCGTTGTTGTTTCGATATCAGAAAAAAAAATCACTCTTATGTCAGTGTCCAGTGGTAGTTAAAACTTTACCACTATCTGCTTCAAAATGAATTTTGGAGCTATGTAGTTATAAAATTCACGACAACAAGTTAGTATTGTATCCATCAATAAATTAGCCGAACTGAGTTCTACATCAAACACCATCATGATAGGAAGACATGAAAAGAAGCAGAGCTTAAACCATTAATTTTATCACCAAAGTGAAGATATTCACAACAACTATTAATTAACAACATGCCATCAAAAGTCCTATGAATCGACCATTTTGAACGACTGAACATCGGAAACCCAGCATAAACCAATCGGGACAAAACAAATCCAGCTCATATTTTAGGTTGCGAGAAAATTTATTTAGCGTAGAATGTTTCATTGGAACAGCGATCCAATAAATAGTGTTTGAATATACACGAAATTCATTTCAAGGAAACGAATGGAAAGGGGGAAATATAATCGGACATCTATAAGTGTCAACCTCACAAACGCCTGACGGGTCTACTTGTACCTATATTTTGTATTGACAGCTTCTATACCCTTTACAGGATATTTTGATAGTAAATAGTTATACGAAAGGGGCATTATTGTGGTTTATTTATTGTTAGATTTATAATACATGTTCTTATGCATGATATATGTTATGGTGGTTATAAGAGAGACTGTTTAAATGTATTTAATTGATGATAAATATTTTATTGAAACGATGCACGATACCTCTTTTGAGATGTTCTTTTAAAAAAGCTAGGTGTAGACTGCATTCTGTAGGCGCATAGTATCGATACTACTAAATTCAAAAGCACTAGATGATAGAACTTCATAGACTAGGTACCCGAACATCGTAATAAGTCTGTACATAGGAGATGACAATGTTATTCCTACTAATCTACTTACACAGGCGTAGGTATTAGGTACTTAGTTGGCAGACTAAATAACTTCAGTATTTTACTGACCTCTAGAGATAAAAGCTAAAACAAACTCAAAGGTCAAGGTTGGGCTTCCTCTAGACCAGACCTTTTTTTAAATAATGTGTAATCAAATTGTGCTTCCTTGGATACTAACATTTTGAAAGTCATTTTGAAGTCGTATAAACTCTTTTGAGTATGAACTTTTTCCAAACAAACTTGGTAATGTTTTGTGCAAATTGTGGCTTGTCTGGAAATTTAATTTCATATGAATCAGTTCAATAATTTTCAACCAAAATCCCATGTATCAAAACTTACAAACTGTCAGAAAAAAATAAGTAATTCTTTTTTTAAACTTCGGTGAATTATCGAAAAATGAAATAATGGCGCCGGTTCTGCGTACGTTGTCAAGACGTCTATATTGTCTACTTCAATCACGGAGCCATTGATATTATGTCAAACGGTATGTAGACTAAGATTTGTAATACATCAAACTGTCGTTCCTGGCACACCTGAGCACCAATCATTCGTTTCATATACTTTATTACAATATTCTGAATAGAACAAAGCAATAAAGAACTAAATCATACCTATTTCCTGTTTTGTCATACTTATACGCCTCTCAAAGTGTTTCTTTCTCTTTGGTGGTGAGATTATAGTACTTTTAAATGAAAGTATTCTTTATGTGAAACTGTTCTTTTATCCCAGCGGATTAACATAGGAATTTTAACAATAATGACATGCTTTTTAATATCTTAGAATTAGTATGAGTCGAGTCTACGAATTTGTAAATGAAAATCTGTGAACTCGGACAACACCCGCATATAAAAGTGCACTCTTTAAAACCCATAACCGTAAGATCTTCTGATTTGTCCCCAAAAAATGCGGTAGGCTGGTCCTCATTTGCTACTTGAATATTATCCTTATGGGACTTCGGCCCTAATAAATAATCTCGAGATTTCGAGAGCAGCTTGTGGCACACTTCACTGTCCCAGCGCATCTATGGCTCTCGAGCGCAATTTATGAAGCATTCTACGTCATAAAGAAAAACTTGTAGACGTATATTATATTAGCTAGTTCCTCACGGTTTCATCAGCCGCTGCTCGACTCCTATTGATCGCAACGTGATGTTTTATACCCTATAGCTTTGTCTTAGATAAATGACTATCCAATACAAAAATAATAATTCAATTCGAACCAGTATATAGTCCCGGAGATTAGCGTCCAAATTCTTCAACTCCTCAGCTTTATATTTAAAAAAAAAAGTACATATGTAGGTGAGTTTGAATCTTAGGATTTTAATCTTATCTTATTTTGATCCTGTTGGCGTCGCTGTGACACTCGATTATGACTAGGGACAAATATTATTTGAATTTTCCCATTTTCAGAAATTTTCTGTTGCAATTTGCACCCCAGAATAGATAGATAGTTTTCGGTCGGGTTATGGTCATCGCCAGCAAAACATGGGAATTAAGATAGCTAGCAAAGAAAGGGTGCAATATAACCCTTCCTGGGGGAAAATGTAGGTTGTTGTTGTTTTGTATTATTTCAAAATATGAACTTCACCAATTTATTTTCCACGGCATTAAATATAGTAGCCACGTTTATAGTGATTCTTAAGTCGGTACCGGTTAGATTATGTTACAGTTACTAAGAAGATAATTAACTCCTTTTTATGAAAAGAGAAATGTTTAAGAAGAAAGAAATAAAGAAAGAAACTATTTTTCTTATTTTTTATGTAACAGTACAGAAATTATACAATTTATACAAACTCTTCTGTAACAGTGTTTTTAAAGTGTAACAGTGTAAAACAAGAAAAATAGTTTAAAAAAAACAGAACAATGTACACGGTGCAAAAAGGAAAGTGCTCAGCTAAAATGCCATGACCCGAGAGTATAGCGTACTATGATAAAATGATAAACAAATGGTTCCCTATTCTTTTATCTGCAATCACTCAAGTACCGTTCATTGCATCGTGGTATTTGAGCCCGGGAGTTCATTTAGGGTATGCAAACACAGTCTGATACACTGTTGAAGTTTGTCACCTACTGCGATGTACTGACTAATGAATCAGAATTTTCATGTCAAAATCTACTTAATAACATGAATCTAGTGTTCAGATTCACATATTGGGTTTCATTTTACATTTCCTTTGCAGCCTTGAAGTTAGGCAGAAGTGCAACATCTATATCTATACTAATATTATAAAGAAAGAGTTGTACCTATTTTTGTATGTTTGTAATGAATATGCGCAAAAAGTACTGGGCCGATTTAAAAAATTCTTTCATCAATAGAATGCTACATTCTTACAATTTGACATAGGCTATATTTCATTTTGAAAAAAAATAGGGATTCTTGGTAAAATTTGAACAATGTAACCGAAGGTGTAGAAAAATGAGTCTTAAAATGTCTTTCGTCGAATGCGCTGCCGAAAGTATTAGCTATAGAACAAAATAATGTACAACAATATTGAAGAACATCATAATGTCTACAAAAAACTCCGCGGTAGCATATGTCCAACTATTGTAGTTATGTCACTACAACAACCCAAATTTTTCAAATCGGACCAATAGTTTCGGAGATTATCGGAGATCGTTCAAACAAACAAACAAACAAAAAAACATACTCTTCAGCTTTATAATATTATAACATAGTATAGATACATGAAGTAAAA